TTGCAAATTTTGAAAAGCGCGCTGGATAATACGCTGTTTCAACAGTCTTTTGAAAGGATTATTGGGTTTTTTGCTACTTTGAGTTTTCAAGATCACAACTAATTAATATTCATGAAAAAATTGGGACCAGAGAAAAAAGTCCGGATAATCAAATAGTCCGGATAATCGAGGTCCGGATAATCGAGGTTCGACTGTACACGGCTTCGCCAGGGGTTTTCAGCAAAAATTGTAGCTGTTGAAAGGAATTTGTGTACACATACCTGAAGACGATGATGGGGATGAAGTGCTAGAGGGTTGCAGTTGGGGCTTCAGGGGCGATGTTGACACGATGTTCACAGAGGACAGTGAGGGAGTGCGTGTCGCTGCGGGTGTCGCCTCGGTTGTCGCTTCGGATGTCGCTGCGGGTGTCGCTGCGGGTGTCACCGTGGATGTCGCTGTGGATGTTGCTGATAGACCATTTGTTCGAGCTGTTGAGCTTGGCAACACTGTTTGATAAAGAGATAATAAACAAAAATGTTTCACCTGTAAGATTTTGTTTCTGATGCTTTTTAACACCTTTCAACAACAACAACAACAAGCTTTATTCTCCCTTGTTGTGACATATATATTTACAAATATTTTATGTTCATAGAGTCAGGGGCCAGAATACCTGAAATAACTAGAGAGTTAAAAAGGGCAGGCAATTAGGAGAAATTCTGTTTACAATCATTTTAAATTTTAAATGGTTGAAACAACAATAACATTCCCATTTACAGATGGCCTTTTCTAATATAAATTAAAAATAAGTTGAAAAACACGTGAAAATGTAACTACATGAGACAAAATAAAAGTCTGCTGAGGTAATTACAATCTTAGCTGACCTCAATGGGCCCCTGCTTAATGCGATGGTAACGATGTCTAAACAAGAAGAGATAGCAAGCAACCGAGAATGATAATCCTGCCGGTTTAAGTCGACCGGAGATTGATCAGGTCTGCTGAAGATGTACACGAAAATGCCGACACAACGTAGAATTTAACTTGATTTTAATGAATACAATATCTCGGCTGCCCAGTATCAGCCTTCTTCAGATTCTTCCGTCTCTTATTTCAATTTGAATGCTTGCACGATAACTAAACAACCCAGTTTCTGGAACTGTCGGGGTCATTGAAAAAATAAATAAAAGAAATACTTTTGATGTCATGCATAACTCTTTCCCTCTTAATCTTGCTTTAGTTGCATTACATTAAAAAAATCGTTTCTCGTTTTCAATTTCATTGGACAGTGTTGGAGAAACAACACTGACCTTCGCTCTCTTCAACGTTTAGATATTTTTGGAACGCAATTAACTCCCGCCTATTGGCTACAGCTGGTCCTTGTTTCAATTTTTTATAATCTGTTCTTAATATATTTCGTGGAAGAGCAAGCAGATTTGTCGGGCTTTTTTCTGTTTTTCTATAGCTACGACCGGGGGGTCGGCGGAA